AAGGAAAGCATTTGCCTCCCCAAATCCCTGGCTTAAAGATTGGTGACCCGGTTGATAATAACGATTATAAAAATCGATGCGCTTTTGTTCTGAATTATTTATCTTTATCTTTTGCAAAGCTAACAGCAGATAATTGGCTGACTTGATTAAATTTTAATTCATTCGAATTGCCCTTACGCATGGCTTCCTTGCAAAAGAAAATGTTGTTTCTCTTTGGACTCTTGCTTTGCACCAAAGGGATTCATTCATTGGTTATTTCTTGAATGTGGATAAATTATAGAATAGCACCACTGTCCTTTTTATGTGAAAGCCCATTTGCCGATTCATGGATGCAAACAATGTTGGGATTTTATTGGTCAAATTTATGCACGAATCATTTTGCGAATCAGCTGTATGGATGAAAGTGGGTCTTTTCTTGGGAGATAAAAGAAAATGTAGTTGAATAGCGGTCACCTTTTTGGACTTTATGATTGTCGAACAAAAGTGCTCTTAATTAAAGGGGGCTGGGTTTTATAGGCAACTTAAATCATGTCTGTACGAGGTGCCTGCGTCGTGGACGTAACATTCCCTTCTCTGAAATTCTTTTGAGGTTTTTACACTTTTATTAGTAGCTGATTTAATATTGTGTTCTCTGTTTTATATCCATTATTAAATTGTGTGAAAAAGTAGGGATTAGACACCATATGTTAATACATGTTTAAATTCAACAGCAGCAGCAGAAAAGCGACAGAATTTTATTAATTGTTACTTAAATTCTGCACGAATCCGATAATGTGGCAGGGCACTTAACTCATCATTAGAAGTTTCTGAGTTAATTTCCTGGTCTGGGGTCAACTAAGCCCAGCCTCATCCTATCAGGCGCGAGAGAATGAGTACCAACTCTTTAGGAGGTCCGCACATATCGTCCTGTCGAGAGAGGGTCTGGCGTCTGCACCAGAGAATGTCGAACTCGCAGCACTAGTTCGGTATTAATAACGAGAGCAGAGCTCAGTGAGACCAGAAGTCTCTTGTTCAAGGGACGAGACCCTGTAGCTTAGGACTACGCAATAAAGAGCCTCAGCAAATTTACTTTTGAGCAACACGGTGGGTTCGGGTTACCTTAAGCTGCGACAGTAATATCAACCATGCTGACCGAACAAGTTTCCCGGAAAGTGAACGTGAATAGGGAACGTGGCTAATTATGTTTTGTGACAACTATTTACCGTGAAAAGCCATTTGTGCGGTTCTGCAGTGGATTGCAAAAACGACGAAATCCCACAATACAGCAAAACTGTTGATGTGAATTTGAAGCAGAATTTGCTGAGAAACCACTTGCCTACTTGGAAAACCGATTGAAATAACATCAAATTTTGGTCTTAGACTTAAAATCAAATTTAGTAAGCCGTGGGGAGATGGAGAAGATAGATTAACTGTGGCGTTGCTTAATTATGAGCTTTTATGTACCTTTACCAACATCGTAACTAACAAACGCTGCGTTGTAACTGATTTTTTTTCTAGCAAGCTGGCATTTATGGCATTTGACCTTATTTAGGTTAGATGGACACTGGAGGTCAGGTGTTGGCTGTGCAACAGTTGTGGGAACTATCAGAATGAAGGCAGTGATGGCCATGGATAATTATATGCACGTTGAGCTTCTTTTGCACCGTACGTAGCCAACCGTGGTCATCGGTGGTGCGGGGGGAAGAACAACAAACTAAACACACAAAGCCATTTTAAAGAAATGAGTTTGAAATCTAAATGTAAAAGTACATAGCACCAACGACTTCCTAATATCGGAAGGAAGAGCGTTCCAGACGGCCGCATAAAGATTGTCTTCATGTACACAATTAAAATTTAACAAAATCAGATTTTTTTTTTTTACACTTTTTGAGGTAAAGTTGTTCCTCATTCAGGCGTGGATTGACAAAGTGCACGATGCAGCGACAGTTTTTGTTCGATGGCCATCCAAGAGCCGTTGAATCAGTGGGATACGCCATGGCCACCATCTTCATTCTCTCAGTTATGCATTCATGAGAAATGGGTAAACACTGCTGAACTTTTTACTTTTGCTAAAGCTAAAAGTTAGGTCACAATCCAGGACTTCAGTGGTGTTGGCTTGGCAGTTTTGAGTCAGAGTAAACTCACCACCATTTACAATTTACTTTCCGACACACCGCTGTGCTGAACTAGTGTAGTAAGTTCGAGGAGACGATGTCGGAGTTGAGGCACACTCTGTTTATTAACCCAGGGACAGGCACAATAGTTGAAGGGGTATCGGCCCCTTCACCCGTACTATGGGAAACCCACCCTAGTACTAAGCCCTCTGTCCTGTTCCCCAGTCCTCCTCTACTGGGCTACGGGAGGCTGACTGATCTGGCCCTGGCAAGCACAGATCTTGGCACCAGCTAACCAGCCTTGCCCTGATAAGGGCAGCGGTCCGGGAGCTTTTGGGCCGCGCCGCTGGCTTACCCGGCTCGGCCCTTACAAGGACGGCGAGACCGGGGAGTCCCAGGGCCTAATCTCCGAGCCTTCGATCTTCACTGGTCAGCTTCGTGTAGAACTGCCTCGAGCTCTCTCGCTCCCCACCTTTCATAGGGATCACCTCCGAGGGCTGGGGGCGTGGGCAATAACGGATGCGGACGTCGGTGTGACCACCCGTGTGTGTGAGTGCCGACACCCCTGTGTTTGTTGTCCGCCGTTTCTCCCGTAATAATCCCTACACTAGTAACGAATCGGCATGTTCTGTTTACGTGACAAGCCTTACTAATTGGTTGTGTCAGGTGGTGGCGGGTTTAATGACGCCTTTATATTCACGCGATCTAACCCAAGAAACCTGTTATGGATAATATTGGGCACGAAAGCCTATGACGTGTTAAGCTGTAAAAATTTATGCCCTTGTGGCAATTTTGGGTAGGTTTCAACATGTCTTCACGCGCCACTGTGTTAATAAATTATTATTCCGTGCACCGTGATGCAGCACTTAACAAGGTTTTTTCCCCATTAAGTGTGAGAGCGCACCTTAAAATAATTAATGATGGATGTGGCTCCCTGTATCGTACATCAAATCTTGTGTAATTATTCCCCACTGTAAAAAATGATAAACTGCTCTCGTGCCATCGGTGAATAATATTGATTTGCCATGATTACATTAAAATTTCCTGTATAACTAATGGTTTTTATTTATTTGAAGTCCAGGCTATTTAATTATTTCACATGCGTGCTGTTTTTTATTTATTTCCCAAGATCTCTTAAGCAATTTTTTACGTTGTATATGTTTTTGCAAATGTACCCTTTTTCGATGATTTGTAGCAGGCCTTCAGATAGGGTGGCCATTTTTAAAATGGAGGGAGGGGCTAGAGGACAAAAACACTTTTCATGTCGCAGTTCAAATCGAAAGGAGAAATAAAATATTCGGGAAAAAATCGAATTCTTTGGCTCCTATGAGCAGGCATGGAAATGTTCTCGACGCGTTTATGCAAAGAAAAAAAGACGTGGTCTTGTTTAAGCTTCTTTCGTCACAGAAGCAACATTGAGATACAGAATCCCATTTTCAGTGGGATTCATGCGGTTTCAGCAAAAAGATGGGGAATGTCAAGCCGATGTTACATAAATAGGTGCACAATTCAAAGTAATGGAATATAAATATAGCAGGTCCATGTAAACAACAACAACAACAGGCGTCATTCGCCACTAAGTGGTGGTGAAATCACCGTGGCGCTTGTGCCAGGCCAAGTGCGGTTGGAGGCCACGTGAAGTGTCGAAGGCTCCGCTGACAGGAGGTCACGGGACAGTCCCAGGTGCCATGGGGTGTCACCCACTGAGATGAATGGCAGGTGCATCAGCTGTGCCTCTTAATTTGGCAACTCGCTGCGTTTCAGCCACCTTCAAGTGGTATATGAAGTGAATTGTGTGTGTGTATATATACACTAGCTTGTTTGCCCATCCTAGGATGGAAGCTGTAATATTTACGAAAAAATTGAGCCAGAGTATAATTGTATCTTGTGTAAATTTAATGGCAGTGAATCTTGCACGAAAGTGTGTCATCAAACACATCGCTGCATTTCACTGTAGCACTATATTAATGGCAGTGAATCTGCCACAAAACGAAGTCATAAAACACTTCACTGCAGTTCACTGTAGCACTGTATTAATGGCAGTGATTCTTGCACAAAACGATGTCATAAAACACCTAACTTCATGTCACTGTAGCACTGTATATAACTGACCTTCAATTTGCTAAAATTCACTGCTCTGATACTTTATTCTTATCTGCTTTCGGTCGCTGGGGTTGAAATAAATAGAAATTTGATACAATATCTGGAAAATCACCGAGAAATGTCTATTTTACCATAATGTAGAAGCATAAATTAGACTTACCTTTTGTCTCAAGTGCTGAAGAAATAAATAAAGACACCAAATCGACTTTGTTGCTGCGTAAAATTATTTATGAGATTAACTTTCAATAAAGAAACGTCAAATTTAAAGCGAATTTGCGGAAAAAAAAAAGATTTCCGCTCGACCTTCTTCTGCGTGAGTGTAAAAATCCACCTGCTCATGAATATTAATGAGGGGGGGCGGCATGTGGAGTGACGTCACGCGCGTTACACACAAACAGACATTCTTGGCTCATAGTAGTGAGTTGTGTGTGTGTGTATATATATGTAAAGCGAGTTGTGTGTGTTTTTTTATGTAAAGCGAGTTGTGTGTGTATATATATATGTAAAGCGAGTTGTGTGTGTGTTTTTTTATGTAAAGCGAGTTGTGTGTGTGTATATATATGTAAAGCGAGTTGTGTGTGTATATATGTAAAGCGAGTTATGTGTGTGTGTATATATGTAAAGCGAGTTGTGTGTGTATATATATATGTTAAGCGAGTTGTATGTGTGTGTATATATGTTAAGCGAGTTGTGTGTGTGTGTGTGTATATATGTAAAGCGAGTTGTGCGTGTGTATATATATATGTTAAGCGAGTTGTGTGTGTGTGTGTATAAATATGTAACCCGAGTTGTGTTTGCATGCAGTGCGCCAACGGGCGCCCGCTGGCCACGCGCGACCGCCGGGCACTGCTCACCCTGGAGGAGCGGCTGCGCGACCTCCGTCGCCACGAGCGGCGCCTCGACTCGGCCGCCAAGGGCTGCTGCGCCAAGGTCGGCTGCGCCCTGAGGCCCTTGCAGGTAACCGCGTCTTTGACTCTTCGTATCAACCTTCGCCTGTTTACGCGTGAGCACAAGGCAACGATGGGGGTGAAATGTTGACTACCTCGCCTGGTGTGCAGGAGGTCGTGCGTTCGATCCCGACCCCGAGGCCTGTATGTTTGGAGTTTGCGTGTTCTCGCCGTGGGAATTCGTTATTGAACTTTGAATTACGTTTGTGTAATATTTTTGCTGCCTTGTGTGACATGGTTGTTTTTTTCTGATTTTGGTTTACTTCATCGCTGTACTTTTATTTGTTTTGGTTTTGTCATTTTGGTGAATCAGGTCACTCTTGCAAAGGAGACTCTGTCCTGCTCTCTTGAGCTCTCACCGTGTAAACAAATCAATGTGAACTTGAAACTCACGCCTTCCAGTGGCCCGGCTCCACTCTTTACGCCGGGCGTACATCGATGTTGCCGTTCATCGATTCGGGTCAATCCGTAAAGTCATGATGCATCCATCAACTTGGACAAAAGATACTGCATTATTTATTCTTTATTTCTGTAAAGTGTTTGCTCATGTTGCATTCGGGCTCATGGAGAGAACAGAACCTTGCAAACGTGACAGCGCAAACGAGAAACACTGCAAACGAGACGAAAAGTTATTGATAGTTGAATTGCTGGCGGTTGAATGAATTATACCTACTGTAGGTGTTTTTTTTTTTTACAATGACCCTTTTCATAGTCGACGGGAACTCAGTTCCCTGCCCTACCCAGCAGCGGTGGCAGTGGGGTCCAATGGCTACTTAGGGCGTCACCCCATTGACCTACCACTTTGGTATTTACCGTGGAGGGATGATGGGCTGAAACAGCTCTGCATTGGAAATTGATACTTCCAATTTAAAACTATAAAACTATTTAACAAAAAAATATTTGATATGGGACCTTTTTGCCCGTGTCAAAAATGATACCTTACAATAGGTGATCATTGGACATCTTAAGACCTGTTTTATTGCCAGAAATGGTAAAGCCTTTTCTTATTTTTCATTGTTTGTATTTTACCAGGTAAAGCGCACTGAGCTATACAGCTATTTTTCATTAGTGGCCTGGCCAGAAAAAAGGAAGTGGCTTATCACGTGGCAGCAGCCAAATACTCTAAACGCGGAGGAAAAAATCAGAGGACCCGGAGAAAAATCCACACCACCATGGGGAGAGAGACATGCAACCTGCACATATACCGGCGTCAGGGTCTGCATTGAACCCACGACCTGTATACGAAGCGAGCGAATTAACATCTCGACAATTATTCGTTGCGTTCTCGAACAACAAAACCATTCTAGATTTTAATTTTTCGTGACTGCAAGGATCCATACTTTTTGTTTTTTTCGGTCAAGTCACATAGGTGAAAATAAAAATAAAAAATTATAATAATAAAATAAAAATAACTTTATTAAATCACGACGTTTCGGAAGCAACACAAGCCTCCGTCATCAGGTAGGACAGCCACAGCAATATTTTTTTTTGCTGTGGCTGTCCGACCTGATGACGGAGGCTTGTGTTGCTTCGGAAACGTCGTGATTTAATTTAGTTATTTTTATTGTATTATATTATTATTTTTCACCTACGTGACTTTACTGAATGAACAAAACCATTGTTCTATTACTACTCCTGCTGATATACCAAAGGGTACACTGGTGATAAACCTCCACTCAGACCTCTAACCATTAGCAAATGGGAGACAAGAGGTGGCTTGGGTGGCTCAGCAGTCAGAGTGCTGAGGTGGAACCAATGATATCCTGGGTTCTCAAATATAGCGGTTGAGTTGATGGTTTCAGTCCAGTCACCAGTGAGACCTTTAAAAAACAACGATAACAACACCACCTAATATGAATTTTAAACGTGGTTTTGCACTTAACTTGGCAAAATTATAACTTTTTGGTTCGACTGTCATGCTATGGACATTTCTCACTGCAGCAGGGCGGCTGGGAAGTTGCTGCCCATCATGTGGATAAGAGGTCACTTGAGATTTCAGAAGCAGTTCTGTGATTGTCTCCTTCCACGGACCATTCTATAGGACAGGGTGATGTCACTGCTTCCTGAGAGTTCCCAATGGATGTTTCATCTCATAATATGACACGGATAGCAGAATAGGGTGGGAAAAGTGGAATATCTTTTGAAATAGAGTGGCAGAGGTTACATGGAATATTGATGTAAAAACATTTCCTCTTGCACTATACAATGCCAGCCTGAATAGGTGCTCACTAACAGCACTTTCCTTCAGAAGTCAAACCAGAACCAAAGGGGACCTTTGCATTTGTCTAGCTTTGTACGTGCATTGTATTCGTGAATGAAGAAGCGATGGACATGGCACTGCAATTCCGGTGCAAGAATTGAGCGGTTTGTGGGAAATTAATAGTGTGTATCCTCTGGATAGACTTGCCATCACCATAGCAATGTGAAATCGCCACCACGAGCTGTAGGCCACCAACAGTAATGAGCGCCACCCTTTGCTCGCTTAAGCCAACTATATTTTACAACCAAGTGCATTTATTTCACGCATATCATATATAAGAGATGATTTCCCCAAATTATCATAAGTTTATACCTAATGTTCTATAATTGGTATTAATCGTGGAATGGCTCATTTTTCATATTTTTTTTTGAGGCATGCTTGTAAAATGTATATTCTCTGCGGCCTTGTTAGGTTTTGTGTACGCAGCATGCACTGAAGTGCATGCTCGCACAGGGATTCAATGCACAGTCTGTTACGGTCTTGGGTCCCTTGCTGTTAATTATACCAGGGCCTTGTCAATTTGAGCCATTAGGGCTCCTTGCTTTGCCTGCAAAATTAGGCTTTTCCATTGAAGCCTGAAAATGTCCTGTTACGCGTGAGCAAAGGGCGTCGGTAAACGAAGATGGGAACGTGAAGGACACAAAGAAACAATAGTTGCAAGGTCAAGAGGTCATGAAGGCTAATGCCCCCGATGCTCCACCACACATTGTCTTCACTTCCTTCTTCCATAACTCACGGCTGTAGCACAGTTGGCACATGGTCGATATCTAACGTTCTGGCTCGTCGTGCCTCCCCTCCATCTTGCTTGAGTTCTAGCCCACCCTGGTCACCCCGCGTCAGTGTACGTACGTATGCGTGTTGAACTTCTTTCGCACCGTACGTAGCCAACCGTGCTAATGGGAGGTGCGGGAGAAGGACAACAAACTAAACACAAAAATCAGTTCCAAAGAAATGAGCTTTCAATCTAGATTTAAAAGTGCATAGCTCCAGTGACATCCTAATATCGGAAGGAAGAGCATTCCAGACGGCCACAAAAGCGTATCTGAAAGCGCGCGATGCAAGTAACAATCTTTGTTCGATGGCTAGCCAAAAGTCGTTGCTTCGAAGATGACCGGAGTTTGCGTGATGGTTTGTGCTCCTTAAGATGAGAAAGATATTGTGGTTCATTTGTGGTAAGCACTTTGTGTCTAAATCCTGACTTAAAGCTTTCGCGACTGCAGGAATTCATATTCTTCGGTTCTTTCGGTAAAGTCACGTAGATAGAAAATAATAAAAAGGTAAAACACCACGACGTTTCGATTCACCCGAGGACGATCGCTTGCGTTGCGATCGAAACGTCGTGTTTTTTTTACCTTTTTATAATTTTCTATCTACGTGACTTTACCGAAAGAACCAAAGAATACTTTGTGTCTAATTGAGTGCGATATTATCATGTATTCGTTCGGCACCCGGAAGCCATTGCAGCTCAGTGAGCACTGGACGGGCACGGTCAGTGGATAGCATGCCGCAGTGCCGGATTGGTCACCAGCCCTCCTCCGTGCCTCACGTTCACCCTGCCCACCGCAACTTCCTCTACCTAATTAGCTCTATGATGGCTTCCTCCCACGCTACAGTTTTATTTCACTTATTTTACTTGCAAAACAAATTCCAGGACCGTAATATATTCTTTGCGAGGTGCTACTTTAACACACTGGTGAAGCACACTGGGCCATCAGCTCGGGGACCTGAGTTTGATTCCTGGCAGTGAATTTCTGAACCGATCCTCGTGCCCCCCCCCCCCCTCACCACCATCCCCCATCCGCCGATTTCACCAACCCACACTTACCAGCGTGTTGAAGTATGGTCAAATCTCGAATGACACATTGCATGGGGTAGGCCTTCATTCCAGCAGTGTCCTGACAAAAGGGGTTGCAAATCAAATGTTATATAATGTATTAATGCATTTGTACAGTGAAACGTTCATTCAGGCACTCATTATTGATCTTTAAACAAAATTAGCAGATTATTTTGTCGTAATTCTGTGCAGTGATCAATGCTTCTTCCCCTTGCCCCAAGAATGTTGTTTATCGTCATTAACACACCTCTAAAAGAGTTATCTGAGTTTGGGTGGCTTAGATATCCGACGATAAGTCACCGACAAAGCACTGAACCTCCACGACTTTGTTCTTGGGTTTTTGGGTTAGATCACAACCTTCCTGGCCGTGTCGGGTGGTGGAGGGTTATGACACATTTATACTTATGCGATCTAACCCAAAAACCTTTATTATGAATAATTTTGGTCGCGAAAGCCTGCTACATGTTAAACTGCGTTCTTGGTGTTTAGCTCCGAGGCATTCTCCCACAACTTTACAAACACATTCAAGCATTTGATGGTCTCAGCTTAAAATTATTACCTTATCAAAGGCGCTTTACACAGAATTAATAACGGTACATATGAATGCAATGGCGGAGATGAGGTGAATGAAATAGATGAGAGGAAGCAATCGGGGGAGAATTTGTGATGCGTGAATTCGATGAAAGCAAAATTGATGACCGTAAATTGTTGCTAAATTCATATTCATAATAGAGGCCTTTTGGGTTAGATCGTGTAAATATATAAACGTTAAAAACGTTAAAACCCACCACCACGGGACACAGCCAACTGATAAGTGCTGTCACGTAAATTCACATTATCTGGCTTTGAGGGCTTATTCTGAGATGACGGAGAGAGTGCGTGACTTTCCCACCCCTGGACATGCCACGAACGGAAA